GAGCTGCCTCTCTGCGGGGGTGAGCCTGGGCGCCATGGCTGCGACATACGTCGCCAGAGCGGTACCGCGGGGCTCAACGGCGACGTGCTTAATGCCGAGGCCGATATTAATGACCTTGCGCTGGATGCCCTGGGCCATCGCCATGCCGCATAAAGACGTCTCGTATGTGAGGTGGTACCCTATCATCGAGTGTAGGTATTTTTCAGGCGGCATGTCATCGGGCGCCTGTGGCCAAGTCAGTCTTTAACGCTTCCGAACCCGTCGCCAACGGACCTGCTCGATCCAGTGCTTCCCGTTCGGAGTGGCACAGTCGCGCCACTTTGCCCGTGGTATCCGTCGGTGCCGCATCATGAGGAGCGGGAGCATTTGGGTCATTATCTGGCCTGCGAAGGATCAGTGGTGGCCCAGTTGCGTGGGGGCATACGCACGAAAACTATCTGGATTCGGAGGGTCGTGAGGGATCTTTATGTGCGGTACGCAGTCCTCGACAACTTTGTAGCACGCATTGTATTCCTTTAGAGGAGTTGAGTGCTCAAAAAGAAAGACACGCTCGACCCACGCACCTCTTTTGTGTACTCGCGATTCAGCGACAACATCCACACAAGTATAGGGCAGTCCGACATGGCTACAAGTTAGGTGAGCACGGGCACCTAAAAATTATATAGAACATGTACCTCAGCGGAGGACCCCAGGAGCTTCAATTTCACGGAAGGATGCGCTGGACAAGCCAGCAAGTGGCGAGCATCATGGGCATCGACAGCAAGAAGATTTTGCGCCGGGTACACGTGGCCTTAGGTAAGCGTTTGGGCCTTGCTCTGCCCCACGTTGGCCCCACGCACTCGGCGTTTCGGTGATAGCTTCGCCAGTTGCGCCCATCGTCCCCAGAGAGGCCTGGAGCAGCGACCGAAGCCGTGATACCAGTGATTTCTTCAGTTGCCATAAATCAGCCTTTCAAGTGCTCTTCAAGTTCTCTTCCAGTCCTCTTTCTCCGCGGCTCCTTTGCCCCGAAATCAAAGTGAGGTCGGAAGTATCAGGAAAACTGGGTCCACAAAGCGACAGCATCACCTTGGGCCGGATGCAATCCGTAGCCATTCTCACCGACGCCAAACTGGCCGAATCGCACAGCACCGCCGGTTTAAAATCGACGGTACATGATTGTTCGTGCTGCAAGCCTGTATCGCGAGGAAATGCTTCTCTGTTCAATTTCTAGCTGGTTCTTCGCATTACCGTTGAAACTCACTAACAATAAATCAGCGAGGTCTGCCAAAGGTCTGCTGACCCAAATACACGATTGTATCTTGAGGGAGAATCTTTCTTTGGCGGGCGTAAGAGTACCGAGTACGTCGAATGAAGCGATCTTTGCAGGCCTTGGAAGGCCATGTCGAGCAAAACTGTCCATCTCTTCAGTGAGTATATATCCTCTGCGCAAGCACAAGCTCATCGTCGTAGTTTCCGGAGCAAACCGTGGTATTGGCTACGGCCTAGCCTCAACCCTCGCTGCGCGCCCCAACGTTATCGTCTTCGCGGGTGCCCGGGATGCTGCCGCTCAAACTCTGACGGATCTGGCAGCCAAACGCCCCAACGTCCACCCCATCCAACTCAACTCCGGCAACACAGCCGATAACGCGGCAGCCATCGCTCACATTAAAAAGATCGCGGGCCAGCTCGACGTCATTATTGCAAACGCTGGTGAGCTGATTTGAATACTGCGATGATAATCCATAATACTTGATCTAGGTATCAACGACCATTTCAGCCCGCTCGTAACCACTCCGCTTCCCGCCTTTCGCGAGCACTTCGAAGTGAATACCCTTGGCCCGGTGATTCTCTTCCAAGCTGCCCACAAACTGCTCCTCTCGTCCCCCACCGGCGCCCCCACCGGCGCCCCCGTTTTCGCCGTGATCTCCAGCGCAGTCAGCTCCGGGACGCTTCGGCTACATTTCTGCCACACCATATGGAATGTCCAAGGCCGCGACGAACTACCTCGTCAAGACGCTCGACGTCGAGCACCCAGCGCTCTTCGCGATGGCGATTCAGCCGGGGTTGGTGTCCACGGACATGGGCAACAAGGGCGCCTTATCGAACGGGATGGGGCGCTCGGAGGCGCCAGTGAGTCTCGAAGACTCTGTGGCCGGGATTTTAACCCGCATCGATGGCGCAACGAAGAAGAAGAGTAGCGGGAAGTTCTGGAATTTCAAAGTCGCGCATGGTAATCCATGGGATGTCGAGACGGATGGGGTGCCATGGTAATAAACAGCTAACTATGCACCTAGATGTGGAGGATGGTGTCGGGGAATGGAAATACGATACACTCAATCCTGATGCATTGGCAAGCCTTCAACTCAACCTTGACCCTTATATCCAGCAATTGACCATTTCTGCTATGTTGTGCGGAGGCAGTTATCAGCTGACTTAGATACAAGTCTCCACGATGACTTCGGGATCGAACTTCGGTCTCCACAGCTGTCAGAGAAGTCCTCCTGGTGGGAATACCTCACACGATTTACAGACCTGTGGGGCTCGAATACCATGGGTCCCGAAGATTACCGCTCAATCACTCAAGACCCTGACTGAAAAGCAGTCAACAGAATCCAATCCGAGTCTGACGGTGGTCTTGTCGGTTACCGAGCCAACACTAAATTAACGACTTTGACGGTCCTAATGGGCAGTCCCGGCGCTACAGGCACGCAACCTCAGTCGTCTTTCATGTGTTTCACCTTGCCCGCTACCCACACATTCTAATCTATATCCCGTTTGCACTTCGAACTCCTCCAACGGGTTCAATTTGATATCCTGGGTACTCCGTTTGCTGGTTTGCTCCTCGCCAGAACTTTGTGATCTTCCCCCCATCTCGTGACCCGGGATAAAACGGCATGATAAAGCGAGTGCTATATAATCCTGACTAAGTGACTTTTGGTCCAGAACGTCATGGTCAGCGGACTAGAAAAGAAGTGAGGACCGAAATCCACTTTCACCTCATCTGTGAGCAATGCCTCTGACCACCAAGCAGTACCTCTCTTTCTTCCTGTGTGCGACAGCCGTTCTAGCGGGGAATCGCAGCGACAACCACATCTACCGCGACGTCGTCGTCATCGGTGGCGGTTCAGCTGGCACCTACGCGGCATTCCGACTGCAGCAAGAAGGTTTCAGTGTCGCGGTGCTGGAGAAAAACAATCGGCTCGGTGGGCACGTCAACACGTTCCACGTACCCGACACCAATACAACTTTCGACTACGGCGTCATTGTATACCACAACATCAGCATCGCTTCCAACTACTTCTCGGCACTGGGCGTCGACATCATTGCTGCGCCTCCGAACGGGGGCACCGCGACTTACGCTGACCTGAATGGGGATGCCAAGGCCACAACCGTGATTCCCCCAGCATTCCATGGGCTGACTCGGCGGTGGTCACTGCTGCGCTGAAAAAGTATATCAGCCTGTATAACACCCAATTTCCCTTCCTGGACAATGGGTTCAACCTTCCCGATCCTGTCCCCGAAGACATTCTGCTTCCATGGGCCAACTTTATGGCCAAGTACAGTCTCGATGCCGCCGCTTTCAGTGTGTACGGGATAAACCAGGGTGTCGGGAACGAGATGGCACTGCCAGCGTTGTACGCAATGAAAGTGAGTTGCCGGTTTTTTTCAATGTCACACTACAGCAGCCTTTTCACTGATGCGGTCGACAGTACTTCTCTTCGCTCACCGCCGGAGGGGTTTTGGGCATTGAACCAGAGTTCATTGCCACCGCCGATTTCAACAACCAAGGGATATACGATAAAGCACTTGGGAAATTGGATGAAGGCAAGGGCGCGTTTTTGAACGCGACGATCAGCCAGGTCACACGCGGCGAGCACGGGGTATCCGTGGTGATCAAGACACCAATTGGCGGCGAGCAGATTGTACGGGCGAAGCAGCTTGTAATAGCAATCCCGCCGATCGTTGCCGAGCTCCAGGCGATTGGTCTGGACCTGTCCCCTGAGGAGGAAAATATCTTTGGCCAGGCTAGTTTCAAATGGTACTTTGATGCTGTCATCGAGAACAGTGGGTTACCAGATGACATCAGCCTGACCAACATCGACTTTACGAAGCCCGACGGCATCCCGATTGCGCATCAAATGGTGCTCAAAGTGGACCTGACGGCAGTGCCGGGCCTACGCCGTCTGTACTATAGTAGCGACCAGGACATCAGCGATACAGATGTGAAGGCTGATATTCTCGACACACTGTCTCGGTATCGTACAGCGAATGGGCTTAACACATCGGTCAAGACGGTATTTGCTGGTTTCCATAACCATGCACCGTACGAGATCACTGTTCCCGTGGACGCCATCCGCAAGGGATATTATAAGAAGAGAAACGAGCTGCAGGGATGTAGGAATACATGGTATACGGGAGCAGCATGGCAGGCACACGACAGTACCCTGATCTGGAACTTTACCGAGTCGGTGGTGGTGCGCGGGGTGTCTGCAGTTCTGAAATAATATCATAGGTTGGATCCCTTATGGTTCTACATACAATGGTTGAGATGATCTACTGTAACCTCAGGTTAGTGGTTTGATTTGAGGTGCCTGAGACTGCCTGTTTTCTGATTGAGTGTTTGCTTTGTCTGATCTCCCAACCAACCTTTGTGACTATGCCGAATTGAGCTGGGATGATATGCCTGGATCTACAGGAGCTGGGCCCTGAGCTGCTCATGAAGGGACAAGGGACAAGAAAAAGATGGTGATGTCCACAATGTTCCCGGGCAGAGTTGAACCACCGGCTTCCTAATAGTGCATATAGCATACAGGGACTTGAATAGCAACTGGGGTATGTAGGTGGATTGATTTGTGCTGCCTAAGCATGTTCAGGTGCTGGCTGGGTATTTATGTATTCTAATTTCTCTGCCAGAGTGAATTGTAGTGGTTCCAAATCTTGATCAATGATGAAGCCCTACCAGGATCTAGAAGGCAGCAAAAAAGCACCGGAAAAAAAAAATGGGCAGAACAAGATGATCATGTCCCCGGGCGGAGTCGAACCGCCGGCGTCCCAACAAATTCGCTGCTCTAACACTAATTGAGCTGGGATGATCTGCTATGATCTACAGGGACCTGAATACATGGGGTAGGTAGACTGATTTGAGCTGCCTAAGCCTGTTTGGTTTCTGGTTGAATGGTGATTTCTAATTTTGTGCCCAGTGCGCTGCTCGACTAAAATGAAACCCTACCAAAAGACAATAGATAAACCCCACTAAAAAAATGCACAGCGCACTGAGCTATTATGTCCCCGGACAGAGTCGAACCGCCGGCTTCCCAACGATCCTCAGTTACTGCTGATTGACCTGGGATGATCTGCCTTGATCTACAGGGACTCAAATACACATAATGCAACTTGGGTAAATGCATTGATTTGAGTTCACCCCATTGATCATTGAACTCTACCAAAACACCACGGAAAAAAAATCCCAAAAACACCGACCAGACTGTGTATTATGTCCCAGGCGGAGTTGAACTGTCAGTCTCCCAGCAAATTTCTCGCTGTGACGACCATAATCGGATGATCTGCTTTGATCTACAGGGACTTGAGTGATTAGGAAAGGAGCTTGGCAGAGGTGCTCAAGAAAAAGGTGACAAGGGACAAGGAAAAGAAAAAGGGAAAGGAAAGACAAGAGATATTCCCAGGTGGAATTGAACTGTCAGTTTTCCCAACACCCGGTGATCTACCTTGATCTACAGGGACTCAAATACATGTGTGTGTAACCCGGGCAAGCAGATTGATTTGTTTTCAGTGCTTGCTTACTCCCACTCTACCAAAACACTAAAGAAAAAAAAACTCAAAAACACTGACCAGACTGCATTATGTCCCCAGGCGGAGTCGAACCACCAGTCTCCCAACAGAAGTTAGCTTCAGCATTGATTGAGTTGGGATGATCTGCTTTGATCTACAGGGACTTGGTCATGAACAACAAGGAAGGGAGCTGCCCAAGCTCAAGAAAAAGGCAGCAAGGGGACAAGGGGCAAGAAAAGACCAATGTGATGATGATGGATGTCCCCGGGTGGAGGTGGAGTCGAACCACCAGCTTCCCAGGATTTTTGCATTCAAAATGAACAAGTTGGGATGATCTGCCGTGATCTACAGGGACCTGAATACATGTGTGTGCAACTGGGTGGGTGGGTTGATTTGAGCTGCCTAAGCATGTTTGGGTGCTGGCTGGGTGTTCATGTATTCCAATTTCTCTGTCAGAGTGAATTGTAGTGGTTCCAAATCTTGATCAATGATGAAGCCCTACCAGGATCTAGAAGACAACAAAAAAGCACCAGAAAAAAAAATGTACAGAACATGATGATCATGTCCCCGGGCAGAGTCGAACCACCGGTTGTCCCAACACATTCGCTGCTCTAACACTAATTGAGCTGGGATGATCTGCCTTGATCTACAGGGACTTGGACAGCTGGGCCCTGAGCTGCTCATGAAGGAACAAGGGACAAGGGGCAAGGGACAAGAAAAAGATAGTGATGCCCAGAATGTCCCTGGGTGGAGTCGAACCACCGGCTTCCCAACAGTGCAACAGCATACGGGAACAAGAGGTTGGGATGATCTGCCGTGATCTACAGGGACCTGTGTGTGCAGCCGGGTGGGTGGATTGATTTGAGCTGCCTAAGCCTGTTTGGTTTCTGGTTGAATGGCCACTTCTAATTTTGTGCCCAGTGCATTGCGCTGCTCAACTGAAATGGAAGTTAAACCCTACCAAAAGATGATGAGAAAAACCCCACAAAAAAAAAGCATAGCGTATCATCATGTCCCCGGGCGGAGTCGAACCGCCGGCGTCCCAACAAATTTGTCACTATAAGCCTTATTGAGCTGGGATGATCTGCCTTGATCTACAGGGACTTGGACAGCTGGGCCCTGAGCTGCTTATGAAGGAACAAGGGACAAGGGACAAGGAACAAGAAAAATATGGTGATGTCCAGAATGTCCCCGGGTGGAGTCGAACCACCGGCTTCCTAACAGTACACACAGTATACTTACGGTGATAACGGGTTGGGATGATCTGCCGTGATCTACAGAGACTTGAATAGCAACTGGGGTATGTAGATGGATTGATTTGTGCTGCCTAAGCCTGTTTGGGTGCTGGTTGGGTGTTTGTTTCTTCTAATTTTGTGCCCAGTGCATTGCGCTGCTCGACTAAAATGAAACCCTACCAAAAGATGATGAGATGAACCAATACATCATGTCCCCGGGCAGAGTCGAACCGCCGGCGTCCCAACAAATTCGTCGGTAGAAGCCAAATTGAGCTGGGATAATCTGCCTTGATCTATAGGGACTTGGACAGCTGGGCCCTGAGCTGCTCATGAAGGGACAAGGCCCAAGGGACACGGGGCAAGAAAAAAATGAACATGACGATGTATGTCCCCGGGCGGAGTCGAACCGCCAGCTTCCCAATGATCGGCTTCCTAGTAATGTTAACAAGCTGGGACGATCTGCGGTGATCAACGGGGACTTGGGTGGGTTGACGTCGAGGAGACGACGTGGTACCGTATCGGGTAGTTTTGAAAGGAATGAGGTGTGGGAGGAACTTGGCCGCGGCGTGTGGTGGGATTCTGTTCTGTACTTATTGGAGAAATAACCAGGAAACGGGAACGAGAGGAACGACGAGTCCGAGTCCGGGGACTGGGTCCAGACTCCATGATCATATTGGATTGAAACGAGGGTGCGAATTGGCAACAAGGGTTTGGCCGCGGTGAACGTAGCGAGCCAAATTGCTGTCAGCCGCCCGTCCATCCAGCACGGAGGCGGCGATTGGCTACCACCAATGACCGAGTCGCCGCTTCTCTGTGGGTGTCACTGGGTGGGAGTACCAGGTCCGTGGGCACGGTACTACCCACGCGCCGGGGCGGCACTTATCGATCATCAGCCGCTAACCCTAACCCCACTTTTCCGTTCTTCCTTTCTCCACCCGCTGACAAGACGTAATGGACGAGTTCGACACCGGCGGCGGCGAGACGCAGATGGCGGAGCACACGATGCCGGTGGGGTATGTGCAGCAGCATCGGAATCGCCTGTGAGTCGTTGGATTGTGTGTTATTATATTGGGTTTGGGTTGGAGGGGTGGGTGATGACCCGAGTCCATGGGCTTGGGTTTGGGCGGAGGGGCCATATCACACTCCTGCCTTGAAGCTTGCTTGAAGCACCGACCCCGGGGATGCGACCTGAGACTGACTCGAAATGCGCAGACAATACGAGCTGACGGTGCGCCAGGAGCCGAAGCAGGCGCGGATGTGTGGTATCGGGGGCAAGGGTGCGTTGTCCTCATGCCTCCTGGAGCAGGGGCTGACAATGTGCGCCATGTGCAGCGGACCGCCGCCCCATCGACCCGCCCCGTGATCGTCCAGCTCCGCGTCATCGACCCCCAGGCCACCCCCCAAAACTCCACCCCCGCCTCCGCCTCGGGCTCCCAATCCACCTCCGCCTCCGCCTCCGCATCCTCCGCCGCGGGGCCCTCCTCCGCCGACCCCTCCGCCTCGGCCGACAGCAGCAGCAGCAGCGCCGACCCAGACGACCCCGACGCCGAGCCGTACACCAACCTCGCCTCCTACGCCCAGTCCTTCCTGCAGAACCCGTACTACTTCATGTTCGCGTCCCTCGCCAAGCCGGACGACGACACGGAGCTGCACTGGCTCAAGGACGGCCGCACGCGCTGCACCACTGGCAGCGTCGTCAGCAGCTTGTATGCGCTCAAAGATCCCACCGCCGCCCCGGCGCCGGGGGACAAAAACAAGGACGGGCCGACGACGGGTGCGTGGTTTGCTCTTTTTTTATAGGGTGAGGGGCTGACGGGTGCATATAGCGCCGCCGTCGGGGGATGCGGGGTTTTTTCGTGTTTCCGGATTTGTCGGTGAGGACGGAGGGGAGTTATAGGCTGAAGCTGAGTTTGTTCGAGGTCGTTGGGTGAGTGGTCTTGTCGCTTCTCCTTCTTTTCACATGGTGATACTCATACTAACCTTCGTCGTAGGAACGACGTCCGGCACTGCAAGAGCATCTACAGCGCGCCATTCTATGTGTACACCGCCAAGAAGTTTCCGGGGGTCGAGGGTGCGTTGGCGTCTCGGCCCGGTTCCGACACTAACCCCCTCCCGCAGAATCCTCCCCCCTCACGTGCTCCCTCGCCGACCAGGGCATCAAGATCCGCATCCGCAAGGACATCCGCATGCGCAAGGCGCGCCACAACGCCGCCGTCGGCCTCGGGCTCGGGCTCGGCGGGAGCGCCGGCGGGGGCGCGGGCGGGGTGAATCCGGGCGCGCTGGCGCTTGTGGGCGGTGCGTCTATATTCGGGATAGGATAGGACGAACGGAAGCTGACGAAATACGCACAGGCACGGACCTGCGCGCGGGCGTGGGCGTCGCGGCGGGGGACAGCACGATGCCGACGGTGGATCCGGATCCGGTCGAGGGGCCGGGGGAGAAGGTGGGTCTTTTATTGGGTTTTGGGTTTTGGGTTTTCTTGGAGCGAGTTTTTGGGGGTCTGTCTCTCTATTGGAGGGACTTCTTCTCTCTCGTATCTCCCCCTCTCCCCTTGTACCGCATATATCGACCTACGACTCGTACTGATCTCATCTTTCTTAGCAACGCCAAGCGAAGCGCCAGCGGACGGACGACGGCACGGGTGCGGGTGGGAATACGGGCGGGGCGCCGCCGGTGAGTGAGCTCTCTTTTTGTCTGTTTTGTTTTTTTTGGCGGTGCGAGATGGAGGGGAAGGCGGGAAGGCGATTACGATGTAGGGGATATACGTCGTTGTCTGCGGGGGACGCGGGGTGTCCGCGACTAAAATTCCCTTCGAGTCCCCGAGGAGGGGAGGGAGGCTGTATGCTCCCAGTCGATCCGTGCGGTAGGATTGGCCGGAGATGGTCGACCGCGTATGGGGTGGGGTCGCTCGAGGAGCGAAAACGCGTCCGAAGGGCGCAAGCATGCGATGTCGGGCTAGGGCCAATCATGGCGACGCAAGCTTTACTACTCCGCGCTACAGGATGCTTGCAGTTCCTCCCCACATGTCCTGCGCTCCGCCTCCTTTTCTCTCATATTCTCTAAACTGTATCAAAATGCTGACGACGAAATACATAGGTTGGCACGCCCTGGCCGTCGACGCCGCTCATTCCACCACCGCCCGGCGCGGCGATCGAGGGTGGGGGAACGGTGAGTTTTTATTGCCAAATAATCCACTGGTGCTGACTGCTATGCGTGTACGTAGGTCCCAATGCAGAGCCAGCAGCAGCAGGTAGTTCCGCCTCCTGCTCCAGATATGGGATACGATCGTGGCGGTCCATACGCGCCGTCGCCGTACGATCCAAACGCGCATGCGCACGGACACGTGCCGCCGCACCCACAGCAGCAGCAACAACATCCCGGCCAGCAGCACCCGCAGCAACATCCACAGCAACAGCAGCAGCACATCCCGCCCCCGCCGCCCCCAGGCTACCGCGCCGACGCGATGCCGCCCCCGCCCCCGCCTCCGCCGCACCACGCGCCGCACGCGCACGGCCACGCCTACCCGCCGCAGTACCAGCACCCGTACGCCTACGCGTATCCACCACCGGGCCCGTACGGCTACAGCGACCCGTACGCGCACCACCACCATGCGCCGCCGCCGCCCCCGCAGTGGGGGCCGCGGTATGATTTGAACTATGCGTATCCGCCTGCGCCACATCCGGGCTATGGGCCGCCGTATTATGAGCAGCCGCAGCCGCAGCCGCAGTACGGGGAGTATGGGCAGCAGCAGCAGGGGCAAGGTGTGCCGCAGGGTGTGCCGCAGGGCGGGCAGGGGCAGGGGTATGCGCCGCCGCCGCCCCAGCAGCAGCAGCAGCAGCAGCAGCAGCAGTTGGGCGGGAATGGCAACGGGACTGGGACGCCGCCGAATGGCGGGACGCCGGGGATGGGTGCGCCGGCGAATCCCGGGATGGTGCCCCCGAGCATGGTGCCGCCCAACCCCAACATGGCGCCCATGCCGCCGAACCCGAACCCCAACGCGCACGCGCCGAGGGGGCCGCCGTACCCGGCGTACCGTCCCTACGCGCAGCCGCCCCCGCCCCCGCCGTATTACGGGTACTCGCAGCCCGTGCCACCGCCGCAGCAGCAGCCGCAGCACGAGGCGCACGCGTGGGGGACGCCGCCGAGTGGGTTTGGCGCGCCGCCCCCGCCGCACCCGCAGCAGCAGCAGCAGCAGCAGGTCTGGGGCGAGTACCCGCCCGTGCCGCAGCAGGTGCAGCAGCAGCAGCAGCAGGCACCGGTGATGGTGCCGAGCAACGTTGGTGTCGGTGTCGGTGCGAACCCGCAAACGAGTGCTAACCATGGCGGGAATGGAAACGTGGTGCAGGCGCCGCAGGGGCAGGTCGGCGCGCTGCACAGCCCGAACGCGCGTATTGAGCTGGCGCCGCTGCAGTCGCGTCCGAGGGAGGACGACGGCAATGATGGTGGGTCAGGGAGGAGTCCGCCCTCCGCTGGCGGGCATGCTGTCATTCAGCTGCGGAGCAGCAGCGCCGGACGAGGTGGCGGGAGAGATAGGGACGGGGGAGCGGGGAAGAAGAATCCGCTGAGCATTGGGAGTATTATTTCGGATGAGAAGCATTGAGCGGGGTGCCCAATGCAACGCGGCGGTGGGCGATGACAAGAACGATGGACGATGAGCGATATGTCGGTGGGCATTCGTTCGTTCGATAATGCTTAATGCCTAATCCACAGGGATATGGCGGGATGGTTTCCTATCCGCATCTATTACACCTCTTTCATTTCCTTTTACTACAAAACTCATCTACCCCTCCACATTTACTCGATATCTGCATGCCTATGTCTCCTCTCCCCCTGGTTCTTTCTCCCTTTATCTGCTCTTTCTTTCTTGAT